TTTTCTTTCTAACACTGCCACGTGGCAGCACCCCAAGAAATTTTCATTCTTCTCTCTTTGTCCCCCCCCCCCCGTGAACTCCTCCCTTCTTTCTTCTTCTTTTTCTGTTTTCTTTTCTTCCTGCTTCTATCTGTCTCTCGGCTCTCTCTCATCATTCATTTCTCTCTCTTCTTACACCGCAACACACACACCCACACACTGAGACGCACACACGCACCCATCTCCCCGCGTGAGGAAGTCAATCTCGTTCTACTCTCTCTCTCTCCCTCTCGTCCCCGCGACCCCAGTAAAATCCGGAGAGGAACTCTGACAAATTTTTCTGCTTTTCCGGTGAGGTAAGCTCCAAACCTTCCCTTTTTCATCCTAAAATCTGGTGAATGAATTTTAATGGAGGTTATTTCGTGATTTTTGAGGTTGTTAGGACGAAATCGAAGCCGGGTGTAGGCACACCCAACTCCGGCGACCTCGGGGGTTTTTCCGGCCACCTCCGGCCGTTCCACGACGAAAGGAAGGTATAAAAACACTCCCCTCGTCTTGCTCTTCATTTTGGTACCTAGATCGGGGTCTAGGGTTGTGTGTGGTAGTCGGCCGGAGTTGTGAAACTCCGGTGGTGGTGTTCTGGCGAGGCCAGGCCTCCCAGGCCGGTTCCTATAGCAAGCGGGCCTTAGGCCCGTGTGGTGAGGGAGCCCAAGCCCAAACCCAAATTCTTTTATTTTTGTTTTTATTTAATTATTTTGTTAAGACCAAAGGCCCTCGGGCCGTTTATGTTTAGGGCCTGTAGCCCGTGACCCAACCTAAAACCTTTTAAGGTTTTATTTAATTTATGTTTTAGAAATTAAGGCCTTAGGCCATTTAAAAGGTGGGCTTTCAGCCCTTTCCCCCAAAACCCTTAAGGCCTTTTGGCCCAGCCCAAAACCCAAAGCCCAGTTGACTTTGACCTTTGACCAGTTGACTGTTGACTCGGTCAACGGTCAGAGTTGACTTTGACTTTGACCGGTCAATGGTCAACGTTGACTTTTTAGTTGACTTTTCAGGGTTTCGTTCAGGACCTCTCCTAGGCTAATTTCGACGTCCTGGACCCGTTTTTGAAGTTCGTTTTCCCAAATTCAATCGTTTGAATATAGTTTGACTAAAGGTACTCCTTTATGTGAATAGGTGCAATTATTAACGGTGATTCCGTTATACCTTTTTGGTATAGCTTTGCACCGTCGGTGTACGGTGAGTGGACCCCTTCAAAAGCATGTTTTAATATTAGAAATGCATACATGAAAAGCATGATTTAATACTTATGTTTTATGAAGTACTTTATGAGATAACATGTTTACTGAGGCTAGATTGAATTATTACTATTTTTCCTATAACCCAGGTTCTTATAGAATATCCGATGGATGACAATATGATATTTAGAACATGTTTAGAACACCTCTTTGTAGTATAGATGATGGATGACTTTATACTACGAAGTTGTTTTTCAATATATATATATATATATATATATATATATATATATATATATATATATATATATATGTGTTCAATGGTTTTGTACTTACCTAGTGGTCCTTCCGCTACGGGACGTAGGGATAGATTCTGGTCCGTCCCGGGCGACGGTTTGGTGTTGGCATAGGGCCTGGAGGGTGTTTCCTCTGGCATTTAAGACCAGGGACGGGGAGCCGGCAAAGGGCCTGTAGTGTATTTTCCTCTGACTGTCTACTCAGAGATGGGGAGCCGGCAAAGGGCCTGGGGGTTATCGGACAACTCACTAGTGTTTATTACTTATACAAGTTATGAATTTGAGATATTGCACGGCATGCTAGGTTCCGGAAAACCTATTTTGATCATGATATATATGTTTTCATAAACCTGGGGGTTAGTATGTTGATAACTGTTTTATTATATTTATATCAAATTGGTCCACTCATGTTTGTTTTGCGCCCCCTTCAGGACCTACGAACGAGGATTACGATATAAGCTACGAGGCTTTTCCCTACCAGTGATCCAGTGCTATATTTCCTCTGCTTCGATATCTATTGTAATATAACAGACCTCTATCTTGAATTTTGTTTGTACTCTGTAATAGACGTATCTCTGAACTGATGTTATGATCTTAATTTTATTAATTAGAAGTTGAATTTTAGTATTATGTGGCTAGTCCTGCTGCCTGTTTTAGCTTATTTTTGAGCTTTTACTTAATTTAAATGGCTTTCGTCACCCTTTGGGTGTCAGCCAGCACGTGATCATCCTGATGTCACGAGGACATCGGGATCGGGGCGTGTCCCTTTTATGGGTTTGTCAACCAACCTTCTTTCTTCTTCTCTTTTCCCTTTCTCCGTCCAGGCCATACTAATCATATTTATAGGGGCTTCTGAGAAGGGATCCGTATGTTTATCTATCACCGCTGCTTCTTCTGGTCGTTTGATTTTAAGTCCCCCTATCATCTTTCTCCCCAGGATGGGGTAAAGATATAGGACTAGGTGGTCTTAGAACCGGGTCATCTTCTTTTCTGGAGCCTGCGGAGGCGTTCTCCAATCTTTGTAGCATACATAACGAAGCAGTTTGCAAATCATCTGATCCCTTTGACATATCTCTTTGATCAAAAAGAGAAATCCCACTGGGCATGCCAAAACTATGTTCGTGGCAGGAATTTCCGTCGGGAATGTTCCCTGGCCGACGAGCACACAGCTCCCCTTGAGGTCGGTGCCGGTTGATGCTTCCTGTCAGGCTTCTGCTTTACTGGCGGGCTTGTCGGGCAAAGCCTAGTCAGGCAAAGCCTAGTCGGGCAAAGCTTGTCGGGCAAGGCTGATCGGGCAAGGCTGAAAGAGAAGGACAGAGTTAACTTTGAAAGGTGCCTGTGTGGGGCCTTAGGTGTAGGCCTTGAGGCTCACAATCAAGATTAACTTTTAAGTGCTTAGGCGTGCCACTGCCATCTTCAGCATGGCAGATGTAGAACGAATGTTGAATTTTAATTGTATATATATCCAAGAGACTATTTTAGTTATGACAGGTGCCTTTGTGGGGCCTTAGGTATAGGCCTTGAGGCTTCCCGTTAATAACTAACTTAGTATTTGAATATATACATATGGTTCGTTTCCTTGGTTATATAAATCTTATAACCATTATACTTCTGATTACCTGAACCCGAATGACAGAATGAATCAAATAGGTGCCTTTGTAGGGCCTTAGATATAGGCCTTGAGGCTTCCCATTAGAATTCATTGTATATTCAACGTTCTAGCCCGAATGACATAATGAATCCAAATAGGTGCCTTTGTAGGGCCTTAGATAGGCCTTGAGGCTTCCCATCAGGATTCATTCTATACTCAACGTGCTATGGTAATCATAATATAATATAAATAAAACTAGGTGATAGATCGATTACTTGCGCCCCAAGTAACTTCGCACTCTTATTTATCAAAGCTTGTCGTGGATGGGTTAAGTCAACATAAGGCTCTTTTTTATGCCTTGAAGCCAATGACTTTTAGATGATCAAATCTTACATGCTCGAGGGCTTAGAACTTAGATATGGCTTGAACTATGAAAACATATTCAAATCGGATTTAAGCGCTGGGAGAGTCTTTTAATAACCATATTACTAGAAATAACTTGAATACAACTTGTAGTATACAACATATTGCCAGGTTAGTGAATGAAAAGACAAAAACAAAGGGGGTTGGGCAAGGCTGATCGTCTTGCAACTTCCTATCTTTGTAGTTTATCAAGGGGGTTGAGAACTTTTTAGAAAAGGGGTAGGAAGATGAGTTTGCAGAAAGAAATCGATACTACAGCAGGTTCTTGACCAGGTAGCAGAGCTATTACAAAGGTTTATCCCGAGAAGGATGAAGGCTTGGGCTGACTACAGCTTTGTTTTGAAGGCAAATCTGATTTGAGCAGAGTTTGTGCTTGTATTTGTTTGTTTGAGTGTCTTCATTCATGACTTCTTTTTCTTCTTTTATAGACAACTCGGCTTGTCTTCTTGTAGCAGTAACCTTGCCCGAATGCAGCTTGAAGGGTAGTGACTCATCAGCTTTTTACTTGTACTGCCATTGTAAAGTACTTTTGGGCTGATTAACTGGCAGGTCTATACCACTTGGCGCTTGGACAGGTGAGCAAGTGGTGCAAATGATATGCACCTAGTCGGGAAAGGCCTCTTCTGCCTTCGGGACTTGGGCTGAACTTCGGGCTTTCCTCCTCTTCGTTGGGCCAACTCCCTTCTGAGCCCAAGGTTTAAGTTTTAACCCAAACAGTTTCAAAGTTTCACTTATACACAGCATTAACAAAGACCCATTTTTCGACTTTATAGCTAATAAAAAATAAGAAACATAATACTTTTTTCTCCATCACCATCACTTTAGTTTGAATCAATCATTGAGGGCAATTTCCACCCAAATCAGACTGAATTTTTGGAGCATTCGCTCAATTTCATAAATCAAATTGTCTACCCTATTGTAGTTTGTAAACTTTGGACGGCAAAGTCAAAAGAATTTGAACTTGGTTGGTGGGAGAAAAAAACTTGTGGAGGGTATTGTTCATTAGCCGAACATTTTTCACCAAAACATGAGATTTTTTATACTTTGGAATTTGGTATAGCTCTTTTTGTATATTTTACTGCGTTATACTTAAGATTTTGATGTATTTTTAGTCTTATTTAAACTCACACTCACATTATTCTCATTTAGTGTGAGAATTGTCGTAATTATGCAACCCATAATTTTAATACAATACTTTTTTTTTTGGAGAGAGTTAATACAATTTTTGTTTTCCCTATAATTAGGAAATATGGTATTCTCAACCCTAAAAACAAAATTGAAATTTCATATGACACTAGATGAATCACAAGGGATGAAAATAAAATATAAATATAAATATATAAATCCCACTTAAGCTTGTATTTTTATTTTATATTTGGTGAAAAAAATCCCACATAAGAATGTTCTTCAAGTTCAAACGGTCATCTTTTCTTCTTCCTCTCCATCTTTGAGATCAGAGAGCAGGGAGTAGAAATGCAGCAGATCCTTCACTTCCAATTTCAACCGGTCCTCTCCAAGCAATCTCTTTGCTTCTCCTACCCATTTGTTAAAACCAAAACTTCGCTTCCAAGCAATCTCTTTGCTCCAAAATCTCCAATTTTTACCATTCCACTCTCACTCTATCATCAAATCCAGACCCACAATCCAATTCTATGTGCGAGGAAGAACAAACGCCGCAATGGGTCTCAAAGATTAACAAGATTGCTGCTCCAATTGGTGCCGGCCATCGTATCGAACTTCAAGATACTGCCTCAGCCGCTGGATCTGGTTGTTGAAGAATTCTGCAGCGGAGACGGCAGTGGAGGGGGTCTGGGGATCTGGAAGGGGTTCGGAGGCGGCGGCGATGGGTTTGGAAGAAAACGAAAGAGGAAGTCCTTGTTGCTGTTTCTGTTATATGGGGTTCTGGTGATTTGTGCGTTGGGATTGTTGTTTGGAGGAGATGTTGAAAGCAATGTGCTTTTCTACGGATTGGGATTTGGGCTCTCTGGGGTTGCTATGGTTCAGTGGTGGGACAAGATTGGCATTTTTGCAATCTTTTTTGGGGGTGTTTTGGTGGGTCTAGGGTTTCAGAGAGAGGAATTGCAGAAATTGGGTTTGAAGATTAGGGCTTTTTGTCCCGCAATGGAAACTGTTACTTGGAGAACAAGAAGAAGAAGAAGAAGTGGAAGAAGAGCATTCTGAGAGACAAGAGAGAGAGAGCAGGTTTTTTTTTTAATTTTTTTTTATGGAATCTTGTAATTTTTTTTCCTCAAACACTACGAAATATGAGATGTTACCAATTTTGCAATGAATTTTAATTCTTCCATTCTACAGTGAAGTGATGTTTACTTCTTTTATGTCACTTTTGTAGCGTCATATTACTGTCACGTGATGTTACTAATTCATTTTAGTCTCGAGCTTCAAAGTTCAAAGATCTTCTTTTGATCAGTCCATCAAGTTCTTCCATGTGAATAAAAAAGCTCATGATTCATGAAGAAACACCAGAAAATCATTCTCTCACTCTTGGAAAAATGCAGAAGCATGAGTGAATTGAAACAAATACATGGGCTGATGATCACCGCCTCAGTTGTTAACAATGTAATCCAGTTAAGTAGGCTTGTTGATTTTTGTACCAATTCCGAGGCCAGAGACCTCGGTTACGCGAAGAAAGTTTTCCGGCAGATCAGTCAGCCTAGTGTCTACATCTGGAACTCAATGATCAGAGGCTACTCCAATAGTGGGAACCCGGTTGCGTCCTTGATTATGTACAGAGAAATGCTGCAAAGGGGTTACTTGCCCGACAATTTTACTTTCCCGTTCGTGCTTAAATCGTGTTCTGTGATCGCTGATTACCATTATGGAAAATGTGTTCATAACTGCATTGTGAAAACTGGGTATGGGTTGGAGGTCTATGGCTCTACTTGTTTGCTTAGAATGTATTCTTCTTGTGCAGATATGGAATCTGCACTCAAGGTGTTTGATATTATTCCCAAGTGGAATGTAGTTGCTTGGACTAGTTTGATTTCCGGGCTTGTTAATAACAGTCGGGCTATCGAGGCTATAAAGGTGTTCAAGAGTATGGAACTTCACAATGTACAGCCTAATGAGATCACCATGGTGCATGTTGTAGTCGCTTGTGCTCGAAGTAGGGATATTGGTACAGGAAAGTTGGTTCACAGTCGTATTCGCCAACAAGGGTTTGATCCTTTCGGTTCAAGTTTTAACTTTAATGTAGTTCTTGCAACTGCCTTATTAGATATGTATGCAAAATGTGGCAGCTTGAGAACTGCAAGGGATCTGTTCAACAAAATGGCTCAAAAAAACTTGGTTACCTGGAATTCCATGATTAGTGCTTATAATCAGTATGGCCGGGCTGAGGACGCAATCGATCTCTTTTCTGATATGCGGATTGCTGGTTTTGTTCCGGACCAAACCACCTTTCTAGGGGTAATAGGTGCTTGTGGGCAGTTGGGGGCTTTGGCATTCGGACGAAATCTTCATTCATATGTATCGAAAACTAGCATGGGCAAAGATACTACAATCGGGACTGCCTTAGTTGACATGTATGCTAAAATTGGAGATGCAGGAAGTGCTCGAAGAATTTTCGAGAACTTGCAGAAGAAAGATGTGATGGCATGGACTAGCATGATTATCTGTTTAGCTACGCATGGACACGGTATGGAAGCGCTACATACATTTAGAAAAATGCAAGAGGATGCTAGTGTTATTCCAGACCAGATCACTTACATTGGGGTTTTATCGGCATGTAGCCATATCGGTCTTGTAGAGGAGGGTCAGAGACATTTTGCCTCAATGGTAAATCTTTACGGCATAAAGCCGACTGCGGATCATTATTGCTGCATGGTTGATCTTCTGAGTCGAGCAGGCCACTTTGATGAGGCGATGAGACTGCTGGAAGAGATGCCGATCCAACCCAATGTTGCTGTCTGGGGAGCTCTCTTGAACGGCTGCGAGATACATGAAAATGTTGATCTAGCTGACCAAGTGAGAAGATACATAATAGAGATGGAACCTCATGGCAGTGGAGTTTATGTTCTGCTGTCCAATATATACGCTAGGGCTGGTCGATGGCAGGAGGTAAATCGGGTTAGAGAACTGATGAAAAACAGGAATATTGCCAAAAATCTCGGGCATAGTTCGGTCGAAATGGAGTTGTTAAGTTCGTAAGTGTACTAAAACATTCCCAGATGAGATATATGTGTATGTTCTGCCTGTCATAATCTCAAAAGAGCAGGTATGTCCAAAGCCTTGGTCATTTGTGTTCAACTGAAACAAATATTTCAATCCCAATACTTCGAAATCCTCCGGAAAATCTCGATAATAATTCAGAAAAATTATCAGGAGTAAGCTGTACCGAAGAGGATCAGATCGAAGTTACTTGCAGTGCAAACTGCAGGTTGTCACGGTTGTGCGAATGGGAAGACCTTCCATTCCCATAACTGTGGCAACCTGAAGTTTGCAATGGAAGAATGAGACCACTGCCAGCAAAAGCCCTGAAGAATGTTCACAATAGTAACCAACTAAAACATCAGAGCAAGTGGTTGAAGAAGTGCTGAAGGTCTCAGGATTTTTTTGTATTCTTGGAGGTATCCTATACTTCGGAGTTTTTAGCTGTTAGATTTTTGATTGAGGATAAAAATGACTCCAACGACAAAAAACCTCAAAGTATAGGATACCTGGAGCCAAGGTTCTAAAAGGTGCTAGTCGGACGACGAGCAGGGGTCTAGCACCTAGGAGGCGTCTTGGAGCGGGGCCAATGTGGTTTTTTAATATTAATTAAATTTATTATATAACATATAAATAAATGTTTACTTATACAGATAAATTGCAAAATAGAATGACGTATAGATTATAAAGTATTAGAGTATATTGAAAACATGAGCAACAAGCATATAATGAATATTTATTCTAGTATTTAAGTCTACAACTTGTTGAAAAAATTAAATGCAAAATGAAAATTATTTATTTTCTGTCAAAGTGAGGATGCAGCCTAGGCAGGTGCTTAGAGGATCCTACCTAGACGCCATTTCTTAATTTTCAAGCGCCTAGGTACTAATTAATCAAAGTGGTGACCAGCTGCCTAGCGCCTAAGCAGGGCCTAGATGACGCTAGGCAAAGATTTTTAGAACAATTCCCGAAGCATAATAGAATTTCGTAAACAAAGAGATTGAAAGGAGAAGTTCAAAGTCTCAAGTATTCGTATCGACTATTTATAATAAATTCCGTCCCAACTAAACAATGCACATGTTGCTTGCGTCCTTCAATTTGTGGCGACCCATACCTTATAGAGCTATGTTATGGGTAAAAAAGAAAAATTCTTTTTTACACATCAAACTATAATTTGTCTGCAAAGTAGAATGGCTGATAGAAGAAATGATGTGTAATTAGTCCTCATACATGTCAAATTGTAATTTGTCTACACACACATCAATTTGTGATTTGTCTGAGGAGGGTGTCCAGGAGTAATTTAATCAGGATTTTAAATGCGGTTACGAAGTCCAAAGGCGAGAATGATAAGGACTTGGAGTTTATAAAGTTCATGAAAATCCAAATGTATTCAATCAAAGATTTAATTTTCAAGGATTTAAAAAGAGGAACTTTAACGAAAAGCTCCCAATACTGTTTACTCTAACGAAAAATCACATTTTTACACTAAAATGTCAATCCTGATACTATTCACTTTACCCTTTATTTTGTCCTTATCGTTAAAACTCAAAATTTTCAAACCTTTTCATTAGTCTTCCTTTTAAAAAGTTATGAATTCTGGGGGATTTTGAGGAATGTTTCAAGTCTTTTAACACATCCAACCTCTGTAACAAAATCACTTCCACAAAAGCAAATAAGAGTCTTCCAACACAATGCTCAAGAAACTCAAACAAATTGAAGAAGAAAGTTTATACCTCTTTTCTTCATTTTTCAGATCATAATTCGGTGTTTACACCGATACAAAGGGAAATTAATATATTCTGGTAATTTTGCTCATGGATCCGACTTTCAAACATCTGCATTTTGAGATGTTCGAAATTTTTTACTGTAATCCATCATGGATTCGCTTCATGTCCATCGTCCTCATCTTCAACATCACCTTCACCGGCACCTTCTCCCGAAATCATGACTGCAAGACACAAAAACAGAGATTGGTACAATGGACCTTGGATAATTTTGATTTCTACCTACAAATGACTAACAGATATGTTTTGGGGATGCAACTACTGGCAGTACTTATAGACTTAATCAGACCACGCAGCAGCGCGCATGCGGAAAACATGCAGTGCACACATGGGAAGAGCGTTACCTACACCCACCTACCCATTTAGTAGCATGTTCAGTGGGCTGGCTTGGATTGGGGTTTGGGTACCGGCGTGGAAACCCATGTCTAAGGTTGGGTTACAGAATCCCACTTATTTGGAATATAAATCCAAGATTCAAATCCGATTCATGCTACACTTAACTCCAGCAAACAACAAACAGGATTCATGCCCTAATCCGGCTCACCAAACAAGGCCTTTAAAAATTCAAGCAACACAAATCTGGACTCATCTATCTTCCTAACATGAACGAGATGCACTTTGTACCTGTGCTTTGCATACATGTAGAGAACATCCAACATACGAATAGGTTTGGCTTCACTACATTCCCCATTGAAAGATGGAGTGACCAAATCCAACACCGTCTAACACAACTACAACAAAAAACTCTTTTACTCGTAAAGAAAAAAATCTCTACAGGCAGGCGACGACATATTTACATATTAAGAGGAGGTTTTTTTTTGGGAAGAAGACAATCTGAGACTTAAAAAATGACTTCCAATGATATATGTGTTATTGCTTGAACATAAAGATGCATTGTCAGCTTATATGAATAATTGGTATGACAAAGAAGCAATCATCTATTAGCTCCAACCAAAATAAACATTGAATCATATCATTCAACCGTACCAATCATAGAAAATATGAAAATTGGGCAAAAAATTGAAGACACCAAAAATGAAATGCTAAACATTCTATTTATATTTATACCTGTATATAATTATAAATTATAAAAAAAAAAACCTTTTCTAGTTGCACTAAGCGCATATTTCACCAACGACCTTTTAACTTTTATGTCTATACCATAACAGTGACGGAAGAATTTAGACATCTATAAAATACTTCGCAGAGTGCTGCTATTTACACCACATTTATTGACCCCGTTGCTGACCAACCTTCTAACAGAGGGTGGCCAAACATGTTTGTGGGCCGACCTCTATTAGAAGGGTGGTCAGTTACGGAGTCGATAAACGCAGTACAAATGGCATTATTGTATTTTGTAAGATATGGTAAAGGATGAAATAGTAAGACAACCATTAGATGATTTTCCAAGTACTAAGCAATAATTAAAACCTTAACAGAGGAAGAAAACTGGCTTACCATATCTATAGATTCTATACAATTCACAATCTACTAACTTGGGAAGAAAATAACTGCATACAATAAAAGACAGTCAGGAAAGTAATACCTCTACAAATTATGCGATTCCAGATGGCAAGCAAACTTTATGATGCCAAAATTGCTTCAACCATTAACTGTGAATATCGAAAAGTTTACGTGTCAGTTTATCTTGTGTGAGACAAACCAAGAATTTGCTGGCAGAAGTTTGGCAGAGTAACCTCTAAAAATGAAAAATTAAGAATGCAGGAACCTGTAGAGCCAAATTAAGAATGCAAAACAGTAGCAGTCAGGGGAAGTACAGTAGTGAAAGCAGGACTCTCAGTAAGAGATGCCACAAATTCTCATCAGAGAATCTAAAAAAAATGTGAACTGGGAATGAACCAGAAATTTTTTGAAGACGCTAAGGTTGTAGGTCTTAACCTTCACAGGACACGGATGCATGAGGAAGTTTTAAAAAATCTTTTGGTCAATACAACAAAACACTTGCCCACTCATTCAGATATCCAAGAGGCTGGTAAAGAAAAGAAAACAAACTTATAAACGGTCTGAATTTGGGTTTCAAAGTTCAAACCTGCAGTTTGGTGTTCCGACCAGCAAGCTGTTAATCACAACCAAAGCACCACTACCAATGTCAGCCCCTTACGGTCAACCCCACCCACCCACCCAAAACATATACACACATTTGGAAGTGCTTTTAAAATAACTGGAAACACTTTTGGTGAAAGTGCTTTTGGGTTCCAAAAGCACTTGGAGTGCAATTGGAAGAAACACCAGTTATGTGCTTCTTGCATTCCAAAAGCAATTTCATCAAAAGCGCTTTTAGTAAACTCAAACGATATATAATTTTTTCCAAAAGTACTCTTCATAAAAATATAAATCCATAAGAGACCAATTTTCCACAAAATAAACAAAGCTAAGTATCTTGCAAGTCTCAAGATAACTACCAGCTGTTTCACCATGAACTGGTCTTGGTAGAGAGAACTTTCAACGAAAATAAAACATAGTCCACCCATGAACACAGCTTCCAGTCTTAAAATGAGTGCATACAAACAGCTTAGCAAAGCCCCAGTTCACTATTAGTTGGGCTCAAGCAAGCGTACTGTATATCACCTCTAGCTCGTATCCAAGGCCTCATCCTCCGCTTAACAGAGGCAATTATTTATTGTCTACATCTTAAGTCCTAACATATGGAGTCTTCTCCATTCAATTCAGACCTCTTCATCATAAGAAAGCATACAAGCTCCTCAAAGCAGAATATTTATGGTAATTTTTTCTTCACAATGCCCTCCAAAATCCCCTCATTCTCGAGAGAGACAATTTTTTTCTCACTTTCAACTGGACCAGGAAGCTGGATCGAGACAGAGAAGTGACCTGGTGGGCACAGATTTTGTGTCTTCATCTTAAAGACATGGAAATCCCTGCATACGATTTTCCCTCCTGTCGTAGTTACTCCTTGTACTAATACTTTCCCATCAGGATCAACATTACAACTAAATTCTGCATTGGCAAAGACAAGAGATGTGGTTCATTAAGCATGATAATAAGTATCAAGACATGTTGAGACAAATAGATAACCCAGCTTCATGATAAACAGATAACCCAGTTATTCAAAGTCTAATAGGAACACATTATAGAAACATACAAAAATGTCAACATGCTTGACTAATGTTTTTGTTGTGTGTATGTTGTGCCCTACTAACCTGAATAGCTTAGGGCATTCTTAAGGTGACCTCACAACACCATATGGTGGTGAACTGATTTCAAACACCATGCCTCACTCGACCTCTACTCTATCACCAATCAATCACTTTAATCCAGTAAGGTGATAAGAACACTTACTTCTTTCACACTGTTGCTAAAGATAATCATAGAAGACACAAGGAAAAATAAAGCTAGAAGATGGGTCGAAGGCTAAGATGCAATTGGAGATGCTTGGTGTCAAAATGTTATGCGGTATAAAAATGGAGAATCTTACTCTTTTTCACTAAATAAAATCTGGGAGATATGCCCTGCTTAGTTACACATGCATGACTAATGTTGAACAAATTAACTTTTGACTGATAATCACGCCTTTGTCAAAGATGTATATACTTAGCCTAATATGCTACAAGCATTCAAGCAATCAACCATTATTATATGAGATAAAGAATGCTAAGTCAACGAACAAGGGTCTCCATTCATAGTGCATCCAATTAACAAAAAGGAATAATAAGTTATAAGAACGTATAACAATAACAATCAAGTATTTAACAAACTGACGCAAGGTGATCATACTCACTATCTTCCTTCAAAGCCCCTGGTATAGAGACACGGAATAAGTATGAGTCTTCGTTCTCGCCAATATCAACTGATCCTACTGTTGGTCCCCCTTGTGCCAATGCAGCAGCAGCTCCAGTCAAAATAATCGTTGACTCATTGGTTTCCAAAATCTTATTCTTCTCTTCTATTGTTGACTGAGTTGGTAGAACTATCATAACTTGCTGCATCTGTTCTTCTGCATCAAAGTCTGTAGTTTCTGATAAATCCATTGTAGGCGGAATATAAGGCTCACTTCTGAGAGGTGTTGGATGTAATAATATGGGTTGTGTAGGATCAAACTTTGGTTGTTGAGGATCTGATTGATCTGGTTCATTAGTCTTACTTGTTCCCGCAAACCTACAAGAATACCTCAAAGTTTATCACAGCAGGCAAATAGGGTGCAATAAAGTCTATTAGACAAGTTGCATTTTCAGGCATTAAGCACCTCCATAATAAAATAATAGATATTAGTCACATACAGACATATACAAGAGAAGTACATATATTTCTACTCACTTTCCAAAGGAATGTGATAAATGATTATTTTCTAATTGCAGCTTTCAAAAAGTGAGTTTTATATTTAACTATTATATATTATCAGGTGTAATCACAAAAAGCACTCGAACCAGGGTAAGCCACTGGCATTTAGGGTCCTGAGAATGAAATGTGGTCCTCATATTACATTGGCATAAAAAATAAAAAAATAAAAAATAATAAAAAATCTTTTATCACCAAGTTATAAGGTGCAAACAATATTGTTTAGTTGCAAGCATTCAGACTTAAAAAAATTTATAAAAAAATACACATAATTTGGTGAGTTCATGATTTTTTTTTTCATTCAACCACAATAGGTGGGAATGCAAAAAAAATCATCGGGATATTGGAAGCTACACACTTCAAAATATAGCAACACCATAAACATGAAATACCCTAAAATCCATGACAAAAACCCCCCAATCATTTCCCATGTTCAAGAGGCGGCACTTACAGCACCCATCATCCAAAAAAGAAAGACAGATACAAGAAACAAAAGTCTCATCCTATATACCCAATTCTCTTGAAAGAATTAACTAACATAAAATAAAAACATTCTCTTTAAAATACAGTTGACTGAGACATAGAATCTATCATCAATAAAATAAAATTTAAAACAACTAAAAAAACAAACAGAAGAGAAACATCAGTCAAAGAAATGGGCAGAAATCAAAGCACAATAAGAATAGGGAAGATCAAGAGTAAATCGAAGAAAGAACAAACCTAAACGGCATTTTGGCAAAAACAAAGGGAGAACCAGAGCAAACTAGAAGGAGAGGAAGAAATTTAGGCAATTAGGTTTTCCGGTTTCTCTTAAACAAACAAGGGCATATGAAGATTGGGCTGGATCTTTTAGTACAACACTTAAAAAACATCCTTCCAAAGTACATATGTAACTTGGATCTAATTTTGGGCCCTATTTAAAGTATCATACTTTGCCCGGTGGCCTTACTGGGCTCGTGCTGACTCAAACCGACAGACATAACGCAATTTTTCTTGGACTATTCCTACACTTGGAAAAGAAATTCAACGCATACACTTAGATATTATATGTATAAGTAATCAGCACTCTTTTACACTTAAGTTCAAACCATACTTTAGTGAAGTAAGACGCATAAAGAACACATTATCATTAAATCCTGAGGATATGTATCTGTGTATATGTATATACATCATGTACCACCATTGCCTAAAGAAGCAAACACAGATACCCTTGCTAAACTTAGTATTGTCTTCCCGTGGTTTGTTCCTTTCTTCATTTTCTAAAATTCTTGTTATATTTTGTTATCCCTTTTTTGTGTTTTTCCTATTACAAGTTCTTTGTGGGATATTTTTTTCCCAAAATACTTGTTTTCTCAGTATCACAACTAGCATGATTCATCCCTTTTTCTCCCTTATGTTTAACTTTACCGGGGATCTAACCTTGCTGAATGTTTTATGATTCACTCGACATAACCTAATTGGAAATGTCCAAATATCATAGGGTACACAAATCAATTGGAACGCAAATGATAATAAATAGGCTAATCTATTTGTTCAATTCTCCTAATTTCCTAAATGACACAAATCTATTGGAAAGCTTCGTTTCCATATCAATCATACTCATTCTACAATAAACACTTCAGAAAAATATAAAGAACTAATCAAACTTCTGTGACCCCATTTGCGCAAAATGGTTTTTTCTTTCCGAAAATAGGAACATTTTGAAATAGCGCGGGAAATGCATATTGCATACAGGGTGCCACTTCGTATTGCATGACACGTTGAACATTTTTAGGAAGAAACACGTTTCCTTAACTGATGACCATGACCTAAACCAATATCTCATATATTTCATTTTCAGTTTCAGAAACATGATCTCCCATTAAAATCACATTTGAACTGCGACGACCCCTAGCATTCCTCAAAAACATGCTGTTCTAGCCTAATACACATGCTTATCGAAGGAACAGTTTCAGAAATCTACCCACCAAACAACTCCTTACTCCTCATCATCAATTTAATCCACAAAACTCCCAAAGTATTTATCTTTTCTTATTCCTTTTCAATAAAGTCACACTCATAACAACTAATTTCCTGAAAGAAAAAAATTCCTTTACACATACAGAAACTGGAACAATTCCAAACACAGACCGTTATCGATTTCAAGTACATAAAAGCATTTTATGCAAAGACTACAAGAAATTCATCACCAACATGCAAATATATAACAAGCAATTCTGTAGATACACACACACAGACATATAGATACACTTATATACATATGTGCATATGTGTGCGTGAAAAATCATACATGCAATTGCCGATCTGAGCCCCCAAAAAATGTATAAAATTAACTGAAAATTGCTGTGCAAAAATTCGACTTTATATGTGTAAAATTGATATGTCCAGAGATATAAATACATAAACTTTATGTATCTGTGAAAGGAGATGTGTGTTAGTATACCAAGACGGCGGTGGGGAAGCCATTGGAGAGAGGTAGGAGATTTGCACGGCGTCGCAACGGGGAGGTTCTTCGGGTCTCTGCCGCTTCCTGCGCTTAAGCTGAGAGAGAGGTGCTACTCGGACTAAAGAAAATGAGGTGCTTTATATAGGCTAGGGTAATCGGGTGCAAAGAGGTGCACCGTAAACAAAAAACTGTTGTTTTTTAGGGGGGTACGTGTAAATTGTAGACATCGTAATATTATATTAAATGATATTTTTTTTAGTAACAATCATGTTACCACCATAAATATTTCCAAGTGTATTTATAGGACGACACAAAGTCAACAAGGCTTCCCGCTTTGTGAGGATCAGAATAACAAACGTCTATTTTACGCAGCTTAAATTCTTGATTACAAAGAGTAACTTTTTCGTTGCAGCAAGGCTGTTTCCAAGTGTTTTGATTAATTTATGATATTTTGACTTGCATTTAAGTGTGCTTCGTAACAATAAGCTTTCTTAATACCGTACAAATCATTCGTCGAGTTTGTATCGAGTTAGTATCACTCATGCGTTGAAAAAAAAACTCTCATTAATATCTTTGTTGTTATCAATAAAGTCTAAACCAAACATTTTATCTGAATTCACATTTCGATGCAAATTATCCATTAAAGCTTTTTGAAGACTTACATAGTGGTTTTTAGCCCATTTTTTATTTTTACAAATCAACAAATCAAAAGAGATTGCCGGCTGCAGGACTCAAAGGCCTTGATTCAACGTAGAGAACAATCCTTACGAACTCAACTAACCTTCGCTAAAAGGGTTAGTTACTTCTTTGTCGTTGAATAATTGTACAAATTTATTGGTTTAGTGGTACATATATATGTTTTCACAAACCATGGATATCATTGAATGCTTCTTACTCATCTACTCTTCTTATTACAACCTTACAGTTGAAAATGTTTCACTCGCATAAATTTTTGTGAACCTTAACACTGTTGCGTGATGATCATTACCCGAGTTATAATATGAGTAAAATCAAATACCACGTGACTCGAATGCTAGTCCGAGTTATAATACGAGTGAGGTGTTTCGAATAGACATAAAAAATTACACCTTATTGCTTTGGGGTGTGTGGATCCTCATTGCTTTGGATTGTGATATCCACACACCTCATTTTACTTCTCACACACCTTTTTAATTTTCGACCGTCGGATCGGATGAATTGAAGAAGATCAATGGACATAATTATCAAGGGGTGTGTGAGAAGTAAAATGGGGTGTGTGGATAGCACACCCACACACCCCTATTGCTTTTCTTGAATTGCTATTGCCGCCTACTATCCCTACCTGAACATAAAACACCATTTATTTACAGCACGGGATATTTAAAATGTCTTCTTTACAAGAAAAACTTCCATGTCACAGGTTTCATACCTCCTCCGTTTCTCTCTCTCTGCAGAGAAAAGGAGGGGGTATGAAACTGATATAGCTAAGTTTTCCTCCTCAACTGGAGGTTCCCAAAGTGATTTTAATCAAAACCATGTGGAGTACCTCTATCTGAACTGCAACTGAATCAATTGAAACATATTTTTCGCAAAAGGGGATTCAAATTTATGAACAAAAGGGTAAATTCAACTGCCCAAGTACGCAAAAATAGTCAACAAATGAAACCAGAAGTTCCATTACACCCTTCAGGATCTTATCACATCACAAGAAATGTATGATAAATGATAAAGGACGACTTCGAGCCAACAAGGCACCCCCCTTTGCAAGGGTCGGAGGAGGGGGGATGTCAACAAATACTAGCTAAATCGTTGAAAACAGCATATATGCTAGTCATGTTCTTTCTTTTTTTACTGTAAAAGGGTAGAGAAAAATCAGTTCACAACTGCATCATCGTCAACAATATTGTTTTACAGCGAAGAATCTACGAGACAGATACCAGATGTTAAGCATAAAGGTAAGAAATTGCATTATAATTACAAAACCTCCCAGAGTTTGAACACATTAAGATCACCACTTTGCTTTTTTCTCAGCTTTCAGTCACAAGCCTGGAGAACAAAAACGAAGGAACTTACAGGTTTCCGCTTCCATGTTGTGCCCACTAATGATCTGATGGCGACTGCTGCTGGTCTGGAGCCTGCTGCCACATTGGCTGAGTCATGTAGGGGTTAGACTGCTGAGCATACATAGACGGATCCATCATAGGCTTACCCATCATCATTCCAGGAGCCCCCACCTGAGGTGCGTGCTGAGGTGGCATATAGCAGTATGGAAGTGCATCGGCAGGCCCCCCAACAGAAACTGTACCCCTCGGAATTGACCCAAGGACTTCATCTTTCAGATCCTCCCTTGGGACAATGTCTACCAAGAAATCAAAGATATCAGTCCTTGTGATTGCAGCTGCAATGTCATTCTTCTGGAGTGTCCTCCGCTTGTCTCTTCCGTGTGATTCCAAGACCTCAATGTCAATTCCAATATGAACATTTCACATGCCCTGGCAAATATCACAGGTGCCTCGGCTGATATCATTCTCACATCCTCATCGGCCTTCATAATCTTCTTGATCCTTGCCAAGGGAAGGCTATGGTTCTTGAAATCAGTGACCTTGTCGATTTCTTGATACTGGTTTGCCCAGAAAGTTTGCAGCTGCTGCTGAAGTTGTTGCTGCTGCTGCTGGTGGATATGCTGATAAGCAAGCTGGTGCTGCGCAAGCTGAGCTCCAGGTGATTGGCTAGCGGATTGCATAGCTCCCACTGTTGCGGAAACTGACCCCGGATTTGGGCTCCCAACCATTTGATTATGCTGATAAGGGTTAGAACCGTAAGTCAACTGAGCTCCACTACCTACCATCCCCATAGATTGGGGTTGGTTATGCCCTTGCGGATCCATCCTGGTTGAATTCTGCAACTCGGCCCTGATTGAAACAAAGAACGGAAAAGGTGTCTGCTTTAGAAACCTAATAGTTACTATATGCATTCCTAAAATACCAAGGGATCTCCTTTTCACACACAATGAATGGTTAATTCCGACCGATCCATCTTGTGCTACGTTGCAGATAAATCTAAACAGTTTGTTCTCTCGTTTTTCGTTTTTCCTCTTTAGACAACCAAATATTAAGAATACTAAAACAACAACAAAGCTTTATCCCATTAAATAGGATCGGCTGTATGAATCATAGAATATCATTGCACTCGGTTAAGCAGGCATAGCCCTCCTGCAGAAAAACTTATCAATTCACTGAATGAAGGGTCTCTAAATGCTATCTTACAACTAAACATCTACAGAAAATCAACGAGATTCGCATCCCGCCACCTGGTTGCCACTCGAAATAGTACCCACCTCACAAAAGACAATTTTTGATAATTTGATTCTCTACTCTGCAGAAATCATTCTACCACCACCAGCTTAATTAAAATTATGTTTTAGAGAAAAAAGAATTAGAAAAACTAAGAAAATGTGAATAAAATTCCATGAAAACTATAATTCGAGGTCGAAACGCTTGAGATACGATCATGCAATTAAGCCAAAAACAGTTTCCACCAACAAAAATCATGCAAAACAGGATCAAACCCGACAACAAAATCCAAAATTCGATCTCTGACAGATACCAAAAACAACCGAAAATTCAAAACTCACATCCGAAAAACAAAAATGTTGCATGGGAAAAGAGCAAAGATCGCCCATTTGGCAATCTAAGATCAAACCCACCACCCACACGCTTACACACATAAACGCAGAAATATAAAAAAAAAACCCAGAAAACCGTGTGTGGGCGTGGGCGTGGGCGTGTGCGCGTTTCTCTGGTACCTTTTATCAAACAGGTGGTGGGCGCTGCTACTACGCAGGATTCGAGATTACCGAGTACCTGGAAAAAAAAAAAATCTTCAGAAAAAAAGCGACTCGGAAACATCCATCTGGGCAATGAGAAGAAAGTCCGAATTTTTTATATATTTTTTTCCGTTTTGGGAAATTAATCGTACGAAGAAAGATCCAGGATTTCTGGGAGGTTCTTGGGTTTGCAACCACATTGGATTATAGTTTTTTTATAGTTTTTTTTTTCGTAAAGATTAATGATGTTTTTAGAAGACAAACCTAAAAAAGGAAGAACAAAAGCTGCGAGGGAGTGTTGGATTCTGACTTAGATTTGTCAGAAAACATTGAACTTTTATGGGAGTTTGGTTTTCTGTTTGACGGTTTTGCCCTTGGTGGAAGTTGGCATTTTACTATTAGGGGTAAATGGTCTTATGGTTCCGAGTTTTCCGATGATACGTGGCGATGTTCGTTCTACTTATTTGGAATTCTGAAATCAAATCATTCGTAACTAAAATGGATGTGACCTCATTATAATTTTAATTATTGATTAACACATATTAAATTTATAATAATAAAATTAAGAAAAGTGAAGTTTATAAATATGTGTCAGTTAATGATTGAGGTCACACATATGCCCATTTTGGATGCAGAAGATTTGATCTCTTGAAATTCTTATCTGGTCTCTGTGTCAAAAGTTGATGGACCGGGAGAGTCAAACCACTCATTTTAAATTATGGAGTCTTAACGAAACACTTCTGGTACTGTTCACTTTTAACGTTAAGGACATTTTTACTCTAAAAAGTCACTCCTGATATTATTCACATACAACACATTTTTGTCATTTTGATAAAACTCAAAGTTTTCAAACTATTTTCATTAGTTTTCTTTTTAAATTATGCAATCCTCATTAGTCCATTTCACTACCCTACCCCACAAAACCAAGGATCCGAATCTTTCTTTCTCTCTTTTCAAATGCTCGGATCTCCGAATTCTTGGTCACTGAATACAAAGATCCAGAGAGAATCTCAGCTCACTTATTTAGAATTGTGATTGTCACCAGATCTATAGATTCTTAATTTTACTCTTAATTTATTTTTAGGGATAGGAAATAATTAAATTGGAATGTTATCTTAACAATCTGGAAAGAAGGGAAAGAATTTGGATTAGTCTTGAGTATTATATTAGTTGTCATTTTGATTTTTTTTCCTAAAAATTAAATTGGAATGTTATCTTAACAATCTGGAAAGAAGGGAAAGAATTTGGATTAGTCTTGAGTATTATATTAGTTGTCATTTTGATTTTTTTTCGTACAAGAATTTGCGTACGTTAA